GCCTATTCTCCTCTTGCTTTTTATTGATATTTTGGATGGGTATAGAATTGTAAAATAAAACTGGTTTTCCTTATTTTATCTGAAGGCATTTTTCCATTGTCTTAGAGCAGTCCTTGTTGATGATGAAAAACCTGACACTAGTCTGATCCTTATTTCTTTGTAACTGGGCTTTGCTTTCACTTAAAAAGATTTCAGGATTTTCCCTTTATCCTTGATGTTCTAAAATTTCAAAATATCATATTGAGACATGAATCTTTTTTGCATTATTTTTGAGGGGCACTTGGGATACCCCTTCAATTGAGAAATCCTTTTCCTTCTTTTTGAAAAAAAAATCTTGTATTATTTTGTGATGACGTTCTCTCCATTTTCTCTATTATCTCTTTCTATAACTCACATTTTCAGGATATTGAGCCTCTTATATAGAGACTATTTCTTATTTTCCCTTATATTTCCCAGTTCTATCTTTCTGTGCTGTTTTCTGGGAGATTTGATCAACTTTACCTTCCTTTCTTCTGAATATTTTATTTGGCAACCCCTGTCTTGAAGTTCCTGGAGCTCCTTATTGCTGTTTCTTTTTCATAGCATCCTTTTGTTGATTTGTGGATGCAATATCTTCTCTCAAATATCTCTGTTGGGGCTTCAAATATTCATCTTCTGAATTACTTATTTTCTTTGGGGTCTTTTTTTTCCTGTTTATATGTTGTCTCTCATGTTGTAATTTTTCCTAAAATTTCTAGTGATCGTTAGTTGCACATTTATATGTAAGAATGATACATTAAAAAAAAAAATCACTAGGAGTCTGTGTGAAGGATCAGGGCCCATTGCCTGGCAGACTTTCCTATGAGATGAGTTGGCTGTTTTGTTGCAGGACCTACAAATGCTAGAATGCAAACACCTCTGTTGTAGGGCCATTTCATGTCTCCAGAAAAGAACCCAAATATCCCCTTTCTGTGGGATGGGGCCTAGCTGCCTGAAATTCTAGCGGTAGGGGGAAAAGGATGAAATTTTGACTTTTAAATAATGTCTGTTTTCAACTCCACATTTCTTTCCTACCCTCCATAATAACCAGGTATTTGTGAGGCCCAACTGTTTCCCAGGTCTATTGGCTGTATGTGTGTTCACATGTACCTCGGTATTTTAGGCAGCAGTTACTTCTGTCCTGTTTCATCTGTTCACTTCCTTTCAGTCTCACTTCAATCCCATCACTCTCTAGTTGAAATTCATTAATGTCATGCCCACTGATGGCCTATATTTTGTTCCCATAATATTTATGAATTTATTTCCCTTTTATGCTTGGCTTACTTAGTCAGATGGAGTAGACACAGTGTTTCTGAGGATCCCTGGACTCCCATGTGGTGTAGAAAGGGATGCAGGTGTTTCCATATTAGATATATATTGGTAGATGCCTTATGATAAGAGCCCTCTGTAAATTCTTACTGAGTTCTCAAAAAAAAAAAAAATCTTACTATCAGCCAAGTAAAAACTGATACTTGCAAAGAGTAGTTAAACATAAAGTTGCAAGTGGTAAGACCCACTTTAGAAGTGATAGGAAGGTAAGACCCAGTTTTAGGAGTAACAAACGTTTCTGGGGCTAGAGAGGCAAAGATACAGAAAGGCTTGTAAGAACAGCCACCTGAAGTCAAAGGAGAGCATTGCCAAGAATAAAAGACTCATTTTGGCTAGCTATCAAGGTTTCAGAAGACCTCCAAATCCAGGTAATAAAAATGTATAGGAAAAAGAGCTAAGCTTAGGGACACCAAATTTCTCAGCCTGATTCCTTTTGATTAGACTTGTGATACTAATTCTCTACATTACTTGGTGGTGGTAGTGCGGGGGGACCAACTTAGTTGTTCCATTTGGTTCTTTCTGGGACAACTCTTTGTTAGATAATTCACCCTTTTAAATTTTATATGATTCTAGCAAGAGAAAGTAAAAATAGCATAAGAACCTTGACTCTCTTTGAAAGCAGTAATCACACATGAAATTTTTTTTATGGTAATAATGATTTTATGTAATGCTAATATGCTGACACTTCCTTTAGGAGTTTTTAAATTAAATAAAACATATAGCAATAAAGATAAATATTTTTAAAGAAGGGAAATAACCTATATACCTATTCCCCTACTTGGGTAACTGTTTTTTATTTCTGTGTATTTCCTTCTGCACATGTGTCATGAAACTGTAGATCTAAAAGAAAGCTTGGAATTCAATTACTCCAATTTCTTCATATTCAGATGAGAAAACTAAAACCTAGAGAGCTGTGAGGTTAGGTCAGAATAATGCCTTATTACTTCCTTTAAAACATTTTTAATGTTAAATTTTTAAAAAACGGTTGTTGATAAGACACGAATAACTCCTTAATCAATGATTTTCTCCACTGAGAACACAATTGCGAAAGGAAAAATATCTTTATTATGTAATATGGTATTAGCCTTATTGAGAGCAATATCTGAAGAATTATAGCTGCAAAATCTGGATTCCTAAAAAACTCTCAGAAGTCCAGGAATTTCTAGGAAACAGATATAAATGTAACACATTTATATTTAAGGATTTGGATTTGAAGTTCACATATTACCATGTATTGCTACTGCTGATGCTGCCTGCACATTGTTGATTCTGGAATGTACTCTCCTTGATAAACAGGCAAATTATAGCTCTTAAAAAGAGCACCTAATTTAGGCTTTCTCTCCGCTGCAGTTCAAATAATTGAAATAGCATTGAAAAGGGGAAGTACTTTGTAAGGAACATGGTTCCTTTTCAAAACAACTGTGCTAGAAACAGTCTGGACCCACATTACAAGGGTCCTTAATGTGCCATAGCAGAAAAAGGCTCAAAATGCGAATAGAATACTCCAGTTCTGAGACTAGTCTCCCACTAACAAGGAATATAACCTGAGGCAAACATTTAATTTTTCTTGTTTTGTTTCCACATTAATAAAACGAGGTTAGCCTAGCTGATCGCAGAATTCTTTTCCCATTATAAAATTCTATGATTCTATGTGAAAGGTATCCTGTATTTCAGCCTGTGGGAATACCCCAGGTGTTAAGAGCTGGCTTAACAATGTCCTAAAATCCTTTTGTTTTCTTATCCTTCTGAGGTAAGCCCTGGGCAGAAACCTGGCATTTCATTGGCACCCCCTTCCCTCCTTCATCTCCCGCCTTCATATCCTATCTGTAACAAAACCCCATTGTCTCTTCACTTATGTTTTATTACTTTTTCTTTTCCATCCACACTACCAATAGTTTAGTACTGGTCCTCATATGTGACCCACAGGAAGAAGTAACTGTTTTTCTAATGTTCCTTTCAGAGTACAATCTGCTATTCCATTGAGCTCCATTTTATTCTATTGTTAAGACTGATATCCCCATGGGAGTAATCCTTGAGTTCTCTCTTTCACAGTGTGTATTCAATCTGTCAGTAGATCCTGTTGTCTGTCTTTAAAATACATCCAAAATCTGACCACTTCTCATCATCTCCACTGCTGTTATCCACCCTGGTCCAAGCCAGCAACAGGTTCTGACTGATCTTCCTGTTTTACCCTTGTTCCTATTCAGCCCATTCTCAACACAGCATCCAAAGCGATCCTATCAAAACATTAAGTTAGAACATACTTAAAGAGAAATTCTCCACAATGGTCCACAAGGCCCTAGGTGCCCTAGTCATTGCTCCCTATCTAACCTCATTTCCCACTACTCTCCTCCGCCCCAGCTACACAGACCTTTACCTCCAAGCTACTAGGAACATGGCAACTTGTGGTGACTGCACTTGCTTTCTGCCTGGAATACCAGATAGTTGCATTACCAATTTCCTCACTTTGTCACTTAACTGCAATGTCTCCTCTGGTCATTCTATCACACTAACATTCAAAGCCTTCTTTTTCTTGTTTTGTTTTCACCTCAGCAATTACTACTATGTAACACAGTATGTTTTTCTTATTTTCCTTCTTTATTGTCTCTCTTCCCCACAAGAGTATGGAATTTTGTCTGTTTTGTTTATTGCTATACCCCAAACATTAGAATAGTGCCTAGCATAGCGGGTGCTCGATTTTTTTGTTGCTGCTGGAACGACCTGGGAGTTCTGTACCAGGGGAACATAACAGCATGCAAAGATGGAGACACACTAGGAAAAAATGTCGTTTGTTCATGGCAAAACAAGATTTGACGATTATCTTAACCGCGTGTAGTAAAAAAATTCATTGTCTATTGTTTTACGTCTCTTGTACAATGTTCTTGATCTCATGGAAAACATTCTCCATTATCAGACAATTTGGTCGCTAGAAGCTGGAATCCATCATGTCTTCCAAATGTTATCCTGTAATTTTGAGAGCTCTAAATTAGAAAGAAAGGTCTACTATAGATTTAAAATTCCAGATCCTCACCTTTAATGCTCGAAATCCTCAAAATTTTAAGATTGTAACATTTCACTCCAAGGAAGTGACTATTAAGTGTAATGGTAGCGATTAAACAAAATTTGCTAACATCAAATTTATCTTAAGTTAGATGCAGTAGAAACTCCATTATCCCCCTCAGTTTCTGCTTTCACTCCCCGATACACAGGAGAGTATAGATTTATATTTAACTTGTATGGGGCAGATCAATGTTTTCAACAAAAAGAGATACCTAGATTTTGTTTAGGTGCGGCACTGGTCTGAGGGTTGTGGTCCTTCAACTCTGTTCGCATTCTCTGTTATGAGGGACCTGTATTTATCAGCCCCAACAAACTCCAAGAGGGCGTCTTTCCTTAAGGATGATGAGGGGAACTCGACTCTGGGGACGTCACCAGCTCCCTCAAAGTCCCGAGGGAAAAAGTCTGCGGGAATAGGGGGTTCCACTGCGTGAGCTCGTGACCGCCCACGCTCGGTCTGGTCGCCTTCGCTCTTGTCCTTGCCAATCCTCGGGACCTGCTTGTCGCTGAAGAGACTTACAGGCTGCCGCTGTTCCTCGTCGCCCGCTGAGGGGACAACCCGTTAGCTGAGAGCCGCCCGTCCTCTCTGTTGGAGCCGCGTCCCAGCTGCGGTGGGGGAGGGGAGACAGCGCCAATCTTGCTGCGTCGAGTATCCCAGAATTCCCAGCGGCCGCGGGGAAAGTTTACAGGACGTAGGCGGCGGCGGTAGCTGTAGCGGTTATTCGGCGGCCCGCGGCGGATCATGGCCCTGGCCGGGTGTCCCTGGCCTCCCCTCACGGAGTCCTCGGGCTGCGTCACTGAGCGGGCAGACTTCCGGGAAGGAACTGACAAGCGACTGAGCGGCGGCCGGCGCGCTTAGCGCCCCGAACATGCGGCAGTCCCTGCGGGCGACCCCGGGCTGCGGAGAGGCGGCGGCGGCGGCGGCGGCTCGGGAGGGAAGGAGGCGGAGGCGCCGGTGGAGGTGGCGGCGGGAACGGCCGGCGCCAGGCTCGGAGCCCTAGGGAGGCGCGGTCTGGGGCCTCGTCGACCAGGATGCTGTCCCGAAAAAAAACCAAGAACGAAGTGTCCAAGCCTGCCGAGGTGCAGGGGAAGTACGTTAAGAAGGAGACGTCCCCTCTGCTGCGGAGTGAGTGTCGGGCGGGGCGCGCCCCTACCTGTCCCGGGCGGCTGCGGCTCTCCCTTTCATTCCTACTGATCTCTGTGAAATACTGGTTTGTTTGTTTTTTTAATCTCATTATGTCTGACGTCATGTTTGTTATTTGAAACCGATAAAGACTAAGAAACTTAAATTAGTTCCCCCTCCTCCTTGTGCTCTCCCCCCCCCCCCCCCCCAAAATAACAACAAACTTTCCTGTCTCTTTATGGCCGAATGTTACTGGTTTTACTGGAAAGAAGAGGTTCTTTAGGAAAAATTTACACTACTGAGTAAAAGTGATTAGACGGGAACACTGTTTTCTCCTCTATATACGTCGAGATCTGTCTTGTGTTTGCAAATATTGCGGGTGTCACTCGCCCAATGCTGGAAGTTGTGCGAACTCTTGGCCAGAATTCCTTAGCTCTGCTGCTGGGTGCAAACGCGAGAAGGTGAAAGCTGACCGTCGCTATTGTAGCCGCTACCCAAAGCATCATCAGTCTTAGATTTCACCACAAGCATGTGTATTTGGCTATGTTCATGAGAATTTCTTCAAATAAAAATCCCCAAGGACTCCTAAAAGCCGAAGTACTCAGGATGATTTCTGTCGTATTGTAGAGGAAATTACCAAAAGTTTTTTTTTTTTCCTTTTAACTTTAATAGGATGCATTTCTGTCGCCCCACTTCCCACATCTTTTTTCTCTTCAGTTTAAGTATTTGACTCTGGTTTTCCAGCCAAATCTTTTAAATTTTTAAAATTTGCTGTGTGTTCAGAACATTTCAGAGCTAAGGAGCTAAAATTTTGGTGCTCATACTGAGTGCTGGCCCTTTGTGTAAGTTTCCTTCTTGGAAGCTTGTAGTAATCTTGTGACTTAACCATTACCTCATATTATAATTGGGAAAACTGTTCATAGAGATTCCTAGTGTTTGCCCAAGATCATGCAGAAAGGCGTGGAGAGCATGTTTTTCCATTATAATCACATTAACTTTACAAATTTAACCTTGTATTTGATATACTTTCTTACAGCACAACATAGATTAAATGGGTACACCAGTAACCAGAAACTTGACTTTTAAATCTTTTTTTAATGGTTCATTTTTAAATTACATGTTCTCTTACATTTTTGGAAAAGTTTGTGATAGCTTGCAGTTTGCTGCCAATAAAGTTTATTGAACTTCACTTGAAATCATGAAATGTTTTTGTCATACTTTTAAGCAAATAACTTGATACAATATTTTGTTTTAGTTTTAGTTCCATGAGGTGTTGAGCCTTATTTATTTGGATATTAATCTCTGTCCAGAGTTTGCTTCTGAAGCTTATTAATGAGTGCTCTCTAATACTGTTTACTTAATAATCTAATAGAATGGTCTCCACATCTAATTTTCATGTTTTAAGGGTTTTGCTTTTTTTTTTTTAAATTGATTTGAGGGAGAGAAAAACATCAGTTTTTGTTCTTGCACTTTATGCATTCATTGGTTGATTCTTGTATGTGCCCTGACCAGGGATCCTACCTGAAACCTTGGCATATCGTGAGAACACTCCAACCAACTGAGCTTCCCTGCCAGGTCCAAGAGTATTTTACTTTCTAATCAGGAATGTCCAAGCTATTTAAATTCTGTATTCTGAAATACTATATCTTGAAAGCCATTGTTCTACAATTCTGTTTTGAATTATAACTGCTTGCTTTAAAGGAGCCGTAATTTTAGGCTTTGTGTTTCTTGAACTAATTCAACATTATGTACTTCTATGAAATGAGATCTTTTTTTAAATTTTCATAGCTAAATTTTTGGCTTTCCCTTTTGGTTACTGTGCTATTAGTATTTAATTCCAGGAGAAGGAAGGCCAGGTAAATAATTTAAAAATCTTTTCAAAGGAATCCACCTTTATATGTTTGGGAATAGCATTAATGTTCTGTTTTATTTTTGAAATTGTGTTTGCTTGAAGGACTTTTTGGAATTTTGAATATGAGGTGAAATCAACAAAACTAATTTTAAATTATGTTGGTAGTTGCGTTAGATTGTTTTCTATTTTTACACATTCATGAGTATTTCATTAATATGTACTTCATAATTAAGCTTACTGATATTTCATCATAATATGTGTAGAAGTATGCCAAATATATTCTACACATTTATACAAATTATAAATTCATTCAAGTGGAAGAACATTAATCAGCTTAAATTTTAAAATACCCAAGTACTATTTTAAATAAAAAACTTTTAATTGTGCTTTCTTCAGTCCATTAAAATTTTGCGGTGATAGATGTAAGTGAACAACTTTTAAAAAGTATACTGATTGAAGTGGTCATTTTATTATTTGTTTCATTATAGATCTCATGCCTTCATTCATCCGGCACGGTCCAACAATTCCAAGACGAACTGATATCTGTCTTCCAGATTCAAGCCCTAATGCCTTTTCAGCTTCTGGAGATGGAATAGTTTCAAGAAACCAGAGTTTCCTTAGAACTCCAGTTCAAAGAACACCTCATGAAATAATGAGAAGAGAAAGCAACAGATTATCAGCACCTTCTTATCTTGCAAGGAGTCTAGCAGATGTCCCTAGGGAATATGGCTCTTCTCAGTCATTTTTAACAGAAGTTAATTTTGCTGTTGAAAATGGAGACTCTGGTTCCCGATATTATTATTCAGATAATTATTTTGATGGTCAGCGAAGGCGCCCACTTAGAGATCGTACACATGAAGATTACAGATACTATGAATACAACCACGATCTCTTCCAAAGAATGCCACAGAATCAGGGGAGGCATGCTTCAGGTAACTTAAAATTAGAACTACTACATTAGATTTATTCACACTTAATTAAAAAATGCTCTTTTCTGGATTTTCTTGGGAAGCCAAGAGATGTTACTAGAGAAATATTTTATCTAGCCAGGCTTGCTAAACCAACTTGGAAGTAATTATTAACGTACACTGAGGGAAAGGATTTTGCGTTCATTTATTTTATTAATTCGTTTTATAAAAACTTTGTACTTATTTGAAGTTATCTTGACTGTTAACACTATGAACCTTGAAAACCTAGATAATTTAAAGTCTACAGTTAGATTGAATCTAGGTTTAGTTTGGTAGAAAGGGAAGGTTACGGTTTCAAAGAAACTGGACTTGAACTGGAGAAAGGCAAGATAGATAGGAAGATCTGGGCACTGCAGGTAATTACATGGGCAACTGCATCATTACTTAGCTAGAACCTGCACTTTCTTAACAGAACTTTTTGTAGTTCAGTAATTAGTTCCCAAATTGGTCATACAGCCTTGTGAAATACTTAATTGTCTGTTAAGCATGTCTTTTTGTAGTTTTTTGAAATGAGCAAAATTATTAGTCATAAATTTTTGAAATCTTCTTTCCATATTTGCCGGCTTGGGTATTCTTACACAAGGAGCCGAAGAGATAGGAGAAACGCACAGTTCATTTTAGTCCTGACATACTGGACTACACCATGACATTCTTTTTTTACATTGTTATAATTAAAATCCATATAGTTTTCTGTCTGTTTCTTACTTGAATGAGTTTTTTAATGTAATACACTGTTTATGAGTAGTTTCAGTGACTCTCTAAACTTCCATTTGGTGCTTGTTTGGTGACTAATATTTTAAATGTTAATGAAGACCTGACCTAGGCTGGAGACATTTGGAAAGGGGGGAAGTAGGACACACCTGCATTGATGGAACTTGGCCACTAATGGGGATATAAGGATGAGGGAAAGAGAACAGTTATATAGGATTAGTGTAGCACCTGGCTGTGTTTAGGAGGAGCTCCAAAAATAAATGGTTTATGAGTAAGTGAATGAATCCAGAGATTTCAAGTCTGGAATCTTAAGACCGTTCTGGTAGCTAATGGGTAGCAGGAACAGTAGCTTATAACAATCTGTTTATCATTAATACAAATTGTTGTTCTTCATATTCACCTTACCCATGTGTATTTATATTGCAAACATCACTGCTAGTGCATAACACTCTTCTGCTTAAGTGTAAGTATGAAGAATTAATAATACCACATTTATATCTTGTATTAAAATTCTTATTTGCCAAATATCATTGAGAAGATACTTGAAGAAATAAATTTCTGTCCTGGCAGGGTGGCTCAGTTGGTTGGAATGTTGTCTCATGCACCAAAAGGTTGCGGGTTTGATTCCTTGTCAGGGCATGTACCTAGCTTGTGGGTGTTATCCCTGGCTGGGTCTCAGTCAGGGCACACACACCTATGTCGTGGGTTAGATCTCTGATCAGGTGCATTGTCAGGAGGCAACCCATCAATGCTTCTCTCACATGTCTCCCTTCTTTTCCCCCTCTCCCCCTTTTTCTCTCTCCCTAAAATCAGTAAACATATCCTCGGGTGAGGATTAAAAAAAATAAAAAATTTCTACTGTCCTCTCTTAGGAGCAGTCTGACAGGTTTTTTTAAGTCTAATGACAATCTTTAAAACAATTTTTTAATTGCAATTTAGAAATAAAATGTAACTTAGATACTATGTAAAATTGACAGATGTCATTTTTTAAAAATCCTCACTGGAGGATATATTTATTGATATTAGAGAGACATTGATGTGAAAGAGAAACATAGCTCAGTTGCCTCTCGCATGTTCCCCAACCTGAGATTGAACCTCCAACCTAGGTATGTGCCCTGACCAGGAATTGAAACCTTTTGGTCTATGGATCGAAGCTCCAAACAACGGAGCCACCCTGCCAGGGCAACAGATGTCATTTTCTTTTTAATTTGCATTTATTGCAGAAGTTGTACATGCTTGAAAAATTTAACTTAACATTAATTTTTATGAGGGCAATAAGATTAAATGTTTCATTTTTTAGGGAAAAAAACAGTACTTTGAGGAAGTCTCTTAAGTGGCAGTGAAGGATTAATAACCAATTACTAACCAAACAAAAAAGCCTAACTGTCTTTTCCAGAGGGAAAAAAATGTGCATATGAGACAATAGCTGGAAGTTTGTTGAATTCATCTTGAAAAGATTTGAAACTTACTATATTTTCAAGATTTATGCTGGAGAGAGTTCAAGGAACTTGAATGAATTTGGAAGGAGAAAGTAAGTTTGTCAGAGGGTAAGGATGTAATGTAGACAGATTTATTTTCATAGACTTTTAAATTTTGATTGCCGTTACTAATGTATTGGGTTGGCCAAAAAGCCTGTATGCTTTTCTTCGTGAAATAAAGGACACACTTTTCATTTTCACCAATAATTTGTTTGATTTGGATATTTTGAATATGTCAGCTATCTTTTGCATGTTATAACGTTGATTGTTCTCAGTTAATGTCTCAATATGTTCACTATCAACTTCAACTGATCTACCCGTTACAAAGCCTCATCCAGCAAGAAATCTCCAGCATGAAACTTGGCAAACCACTTTTGATATGTTTGATCAGTCACAGCACCTTCTCTGTACACTGCACAAATCTTTTTTTTTTGCATTTCAGTTGTGTTTTTACCTCTCTGGAAATAATAAAGCACAATATGCCAAAAATGTTACGTTTTTTCTTCCTTCTTCAATATTAAAAATGGAGACACAAATTTACCAGTTTTGATAAGCTTTTCTTTAAATGCATGCTGATATGACAGCTGTCATAATACAGTCCAACAAAACTGTTTTGATGAAGTAAAAGACAACTAAGTGCTACTAGAGTCATCTTACGGAAAAAACCAAACTTTTTGGCCAACCCAATAATAAGCATTTTATGGAAGGAAATAGTTTTGTAGTGAGTTGATGAGAGTAGTAATTCCTACCACTTAGGTACTATTTAGACTTTCTGGAACACCTATCTCAAGGGTTAAATTCATCTTACTGTATTTAGCCAAAGCATAAAAACAAGTTGTGTAGTATCTTAAAGGGTTTTAGGGTCTAGCAAGTTCTATGTTTAGCTGTAAAATTTGACCTTTAACATTTTGGCCAACATACCAGTCAGGCACTTACTGTATGTGCCAAAGGAAGGAGTCCTGCTGTTAACAGGAAGCCTTTAGTTAGAATACTAAAGGCAGATTAATTTCCTTTGTTTTGCACTTAAGTATTTTAGTTTTATATAGTTTTAAGTAACAGACTTTAAAATATATTTTTAAAGACAAATGTCAAGTTATAAAAATAAAGGTGAAAAGTGTTAGGCTTTACAAAAAACACTGGAGTTTCTGTTTATTCCAGGATATGCGTAAATATTTAGTAAACCATAGTCATCTTTTGAGGAGGGGTTATTAATCTTTTGGGACACTGCTTTATTTTGTAATTATTTTGCAGAGGAGGCAGTTGGCTTGCTTCAGTACTTCGATCTCTTTATCAACACCATGATAATGATATGGGCTATAATGTTTAGCATTTATTACCCTGGAGCTTGTAGACCTTCATTAGAATTCCAGATTCCTTTTTGTTCTCTGTAGCTGCTACAAAATTAGGAAATTAGAATTTTTGAGCTTTGTCTGTAAGGGCAGATCTCATAGATATCTGCCTGATGACATGAGATTAAGGTCTTTGGAGACATGCCTAAAGTGAGCTTGGTCGACAAAACAATTCTTTTTACATGTCTTTGGGAAATCATGTATGGGGTGGGCAAAGGTAGGTTTACAGTTGAGAGTATGCAAAACAGTTAATGTATCTATCGTAATAATCATAACCTGTATTTTTCCACCCCTGTATTTAGTTTATGAGTGCTTTATTTTATATAAATGGAAGGTGTGTGATTAGTTCTTGTAAATGGAACTTATTTGGAGGATTATGAATGCCACTCCTTCTCTGGGACCAATTGAAATTATGAAAAACTAATTTTTTCCTTGTAGCTCAGAAACAAGTTCTCATTTTCCACTGAGTTCAAAATTGATAGCTTGCTTTAGTGGCAGTCATTTTTCTTTCAGGAGTTACAGATGATCTTTTGTTGCTAAGATTACATGGTTAGTAATATTATCATTTGATTTTATACCATCTGTGTGGCTACTTCTTTGTTAGAGTTGTTTTGAGTATGAAATAGTGCATGTGGAAAGAGCCAGGGACAGAATAGACTCTCACAATTCTTAGTGTTCATTCCCTTTTCCCAGATTTGGCATGTTTGTTATTGAAGCTTCTACTTTCTGGCTGAACTTCTAGTGGAGGTCTGGTGTGTTAAAGTTTGATACAGCCTTTTTTTAATTTTGTCTACTAAACATATTTTACTAGTGGTAATATTTTATATTTTAGGTCAGTGGTTTCCATTTCTAGTTGGTTTTATAAACTTATCCCAAATAATAGTTTGAAAAAAAATTAGTGTATGTGACACTTTAAAAATGTACAGGTGGAGTGTGTCACAAAACCAAAAAAGCTATTTGTGGAGATTTCTATAAAGGTAAAAATTATGATTCCTAAGGTGACACTGGTAAAGCTTGATGAGACTATATGGCAAATTGTCAAGGTTTAGTTCCTGGAAATGCGATTTTTCAGAGAGGTCTTTGTATATCTGGTGTTTGATACATAATGTTTAACTGACAAAGTACATTTGTTTCTAGATTTAGTCTAGTTCAGTATGTGGAGCTTTGGATTTTCTAAAATGAATGAAATTGTCACAAACCTTAATACCCTCTGAACCCGTACAGTTTTAAATTATGAGTTCTGTCCACCCATGTAATATGAAAAATAAAGAGACATTTATTGAAGAAGATACAAGACACAAGAAACACTGTACATAGGACAATGACACCTCAGTCCCCTTCAGAGTAGGCCCCTTGGGACCTCACCCAGTTCTCCCAGTCTCCATCAGCTGCACCATCGTATTTTCTTGAATCTCATCAGTGATGTGAAATCTCTTCCCTTTTAAAGGTGATTTTAGTTTTGGGAAAAGCCAAAAGTTGCAAGGTGCCAAATCTGGGCTGAGTCACCTGGGTAATTTGATGTTTCTCAAAAAAACTCTGTGTGAGATGTGATGCATGAGTGGTCATGTTATGATGAAGCTGCCACTCATCACTTGCCCATAGCTGAGGCCTTCTGAATCATCCAAATAGTTTCCATGGAGGAATGTTCAAGCTGAATGCAAAATTTGATGCAGATTCATTGCTCTACTCTTTCAGTCATTTTGAATGTGACGACCACACAGTATACATGTTCACTCAACACTATACAGGACATCTGCTGCCCTACTGACTAGTACAGTGAAGTTGTCATTGTTCACACATGCATTCCAGTTCACTCTCCTTGGGTGCCAGGTTACATCAGTGTTGTGCAAACTGTCCTTATTAACAATGGTTGGACTTTTTCTGGGCAGACCTCGTATAATAGTTTTTGTTTTTATTATTATGTTTTTAGACGTAGAAAGGAAGGGAGAGAGGGAGATATTTGTTGTTTCAGGTATTTATGTATTCATTGGTTGTTTCTTGTACTTACCCTTGCTGGGGATCAATCCTGTAGCCTTGGTATATTGGGACGATGTTCTAAGCAACTGAGCAACCTGGCCAGGTCCAGGTTTTGTTTTTAATAATGGCTTTATTTATAAATGAATACATGTCATGGGGGACCTCTGTCAGGTCAAATGTTAAACGTTTCTTAAAAATAACTCTATGATAAATACATTGAATTGACTGTGTGTATATGCTGAGTGGGATAAAAGTAGGTTTCTGGTTGTATGTGAACAGTTTATTCTTGTATTATTATTTGTTAATTATTGTATTTTACATAGGAACAATTGTAAACCTACTTTTGTCCTACCCTGTATGTATGTATGTGTGTGTATGTATACGTAAATATATTTTTAAAATGTTATCCTAGGTTGTTGCCAGTAGTACATTTTTTATAATGGAGGTATGAGAAAGTATAAAGCCATTGTATGCTTATATAATGTGATCTCAAAGTTATTTGCTCCATGTATATCTTTAGTACATTGGGTTATTTCTTTTCTTTTTAAATATTTTCTCTAAGTCCTGAAGTTCCATAAACTATGCTTATTAAATAAACCTTCAGTTGCAGTTTGACAGAAGCCAAGGTCTGTTTCACCAAAAGGCCTTTTGTTCTGTTCTATAGTCACCATCTGCTTTAGAAGTGTACCCCTTTCTTCCCAAAGGGTACTGAGCAGAAGTGATTGTTTTCTTTCTTGCACTTTCCTTTTTGCCACAATACTTTTTAAGTGATGTTGTATACATTCTGTTCCATCAGTTCCAGAGACATGTAATGACTGATTTCTCTGTGATGTTAAAATTGATCATGCGATTAGATCAGTCCCATTCATCCATCATGAAGTTCTGCTTCAGCCTTTTATCTAATTATTTGGCAGCTATTAATGATTCTTAGATCTAGTATTTCACTAGGTGTTCAAATGGTGATAATCTAATTCTGTCATTTCTTCTCTGTTAGATGGAATTCTATAAAGAAAAACTTTCCCTTATCAATTATTTGGTTGCTGTTCATAAAAGACAGGATAAATGCTAGATCTTTTATTTACTATTGTTTCAGAATAATGAAACAACAGTAAAGGTAACCAGTGAGTTGGTATTTTAGAATCTTTATGAACTTAGGGATTTTTTTTTTTTAAGTTAAACTCTTAAGTTTTATTTGGTTAAGAACCCTTTGGCTGACAAAAGTTTACAAAAATTTATCCTACTTTTTAATAAAAAAGTTTTATAGTTTTATGTTTGCTATATGATCCACCTTGAGTCCATTTTTATATAAGCTGGTAGGTATAGGTTGCGATTAATTTTTTGCATATGGATGTCTAGTTGTTCCAGCATCATTTGTTGATAAAACTATTTTTCCTCAATAGAATTACCTTTTCACTGTTGTCAAAAATTAATTGACCATGTGTATGTAGATGTATTCCTGGATTCTGTATTCCATTGATCTGTTTGTCCTTTTGACAATATCACACTGTCTTGATGGTTACCATATAGTAAGACTTAAAATCAGGTTTTATGAGTTCTCCAACTTTATTCCTTTTAAAAACTGTTTTGGTTTCTCTAGTTCTTTCACTTTTTCATGTACATTTTGGAGTCTGCTTATCTATATCTGTCTATATCTACAAAAGCTCCTGCTGGAATTTGATTGGAATTACCTTAAACCTAAAGATTATTTCAAGAAAAATTGACATCTTAATTATTTTGAGTTTTTTAATCCATTAACATGGGGGGACTGTTTTCATTTTTTTAATAAGTGTTTTGTTAGGTTTATATGTAAATGCTTGATTTTTTGGAACTGTTATGATGATATAAGTAGTTAAATGTTTCCAATTATTCTTGGTATACGGATTTGAGTTTTGTATGTTGACCTTATCCCCTGCTACCTTAATAAATTTACTTAGTAGTTTTTTGTTTTGTTTTTTTTTTAATCCCCACAAATAAGGGAGGACTACTAAAATATTTAATTTAATATCTTGTATGCAAGAGTCCTCCCACTATTTTTTTCCATTACTTAGTAGTTTTGAGGCACAGCCAAATTATTTTTAGAAATTATAAACTGGGAATAGTTTTACAAGTTCATTTTGCCGTTTTAGATGAAATGTCAAATCAAAACTCTTGAATGAGGTGAAATTTTCTTTTCCTCACTTTTCCTTTAGCACTATACATACTTTAGCTTTGCTAGTGGTTAAATATTTGTATATCCTGGTGATGGAGGCATCAACCCAAAATACCCAGTTTCAAAGGAGACTGTTTCCTCCCTGTTTTTGTAATTAAATAATAATAAAGTGGCTATTTTAAAAAAATTTTTTACTTACTGATTTAGAGAGAGTGAGGAAAGGAGAAAGGAAGACAGAGAGGGAGAGTGTCATCGATATATTGTTCCCTTAGTTATGGATTCATTGGTTGATTCTTGTATGTGTCCAGACTGGAGATTGAACTCACAGCCTTGGTGTATCGGGATAATCTTCTAACCAACTGAGCTATTTGGCTAGGACAGTATTAGCTAATTATATGAAAATTTTTATTTATAATGATAAAATCATGAATTTTAACAGAAAAGTATAATCACGATAGTTAATTTTGTAACTGTTGCTTAAATATCATCTTTTTATCTTTGAGTAATTGTTCTGTTTTTTCTTTTTCTCTTTCTCAGGTATTGGGAGAGTTGCTGCTACATCTTTAGGAAATTTAACTAACCATGGTTCTGAAGATTTACCCCTTCCTCCTGGCTGGTCTGTGGACTGGACAATGAGAGGGAGAAAATATTACATAGATCACAACACAAATACAACTCATTGGAGCCATCCTCTTGAGCGAGAAGGACTTCCTCCAGGATGGGAGCGAGTTGAGTCATCAGAATTTGGAACCTATTATGTAGATCACACAAATAAGAAGGCTCAATATAGGCATCCATGTGCTCCTAGGTATTGACTTTCTTTTCAACTTTTTGTTTTGAGATTGTCTAATGTTAGATTTTGAGATTATGTGTTCATCAAAGGGAAAGGTATTCTGAAGATAGGTATTTGAAAGGTTTGTTTTTCAAAGTTTATGATAACTTTCTCTAGACTTCTTTTTTAGTAATGAATGACTTTATAATTTTTTTCATAAAAAAGCTTTTCTCTTTAAAGAATCTCAGAAACAGGCTCAGTATTCTTATGATTAGATTCTGCTTTAATGTACCAGAATGTTTTTGTCATAGATATCCAGAAATTGAGATAAAAAAATAAAAATAAAACCTCTGCCTCTTTACATTTAAATTCCTGTAAGTAATATAGATCTCTCTCTTAATGTGTCAAAATATACTTTTAGATTGAAACATCTTGCTGTTTTTATTCAGTTTCAGGCATTTTATGTTCTGCTTTTTACCATTAACAGGCAAGAAAGCAAAAATTGGAACTGTACAAAACATCCCAGATCTGTTTAGTAAATGTAGCAAGTGATCCTTGGGCTACTTTGATTGATGATAGGCTAATTAGTAGGCCTTGCTTATGCCAGACTTGTAGTCTTCTGAATACTGTATCTAGTTGTCACATGTGATTGAATACTTGAAATGTGATTAATCCAAACTGAGGTGTGTTGTAAATGTATAAAATACACACTGGATTTCAAAGCATATAAAAAGCTAGTATTGATTGAGTAATGAATTTGCAGGTATTCCTAATTAACTCCATTTGAGCTCTCAATAACTGGACCATAGAACTAAAAATGTGTAGAATATCATCAACATGTTAATAGATGTTGTTTAGTATCATCTAGCATAACACAGATCTTTGGTTATAGCATATATTTGCATTTTTTAGAATCATTAAAATCATTATGAAAATACATTTTAATATCACCTAGAAAACTTTAAGCTTTATCATTGTACTGTTTTAATCATATTTTTATAAATATTTGGACTTATTCAAGTTTGAAAAGCAGTTTTTTTCTAGTGATTCCATTTAGTGGCACTTAGTCATTATCTGTTGAACAATTGAAGCTTTCATCCCTTTAGAAGAACCAGACTGACCACTCTGTCTCTGTTGGGCTATGGCCCCTTCGTCCACTCTCTGTACTATCTCAGATAAGCTTCTGCCTCCCTGGCCTCCATTTTCAAGCCTGTGACATGGGAGTAACACTTGAGAGCTCCACTTATTCCTGTGGTGTCCCCAGCACCCAACACAGAGAGGCACAAAGTGGGAGTATAGCAGATATTTGTTGAATGATGGAAAGAAAAATACAGTTACAATTTCATGAGGTAGCAGAGGACTTTGTGGTCTAGATAACCAGATCTGAAAGTATATTGAGCTTATGTTTCCATTCATCATCATTAACCCTAAGATGTTTATAGTTTACAAAGCATTTTCATAATTAGTTAATCTGCTTTTCTCAGCAACTCTGTAGACATTAAAAAGGAGAGAATAAACACTTTCCTTAAACTTACAAAGGTAGGTAGTATTAGTAACTATTTGATTGTCTATGTTATACCAATCTTTATACAGAACTCTTGACTTATTTTAGGTCACTTAATCCTGAGGACAGTCATCTTTGGTATGAATTTATTTCGTTTTCTAAGTAAGGAGGCTGAGGCTTAGAGAAGTAAAGCAGTTTTGCCTGCATTCACACAATTTCTAAAAGGCTAACCCCTCTAGACTTCAGAGCCTCAGTTCTCCCTCCCCAATTGTGAATATTTCACTTTGCACCTATGTATGAAAGAAGAATTAAAGATAAAATTCAGTGCCATTTGCATATTGATTTTTACATTGTTAAACATAGTAGAAATATAACACTTCTTTTAATCCCAGATTAGTATTGCAATGACGTTTTCTGATATACGCATAAATCTTAATGTTGGGAGGCAGTCCCACTTACAGTTGTCTCCCATCCTGGAATAAACCGTTTTGATCTCCCAGAATTTACTCTTTAACCTTCAGATAGTTCAGTGCTCTCCTTAGTGTTTTCCTATATAGCAGTCTCTTCCTTGTGTTGCTCTTCTCTTCCTGCCCCCAACATGTACAGGCCATTAGAATTAATTAAAAACATGCTTTTTTTTTTTTTTTTTAGTCTAATTTAAAATGGGTTACAGCAGAAAGGAAATATTACAGTTAATGTGGATATTTCAAGTACTCCTACTGTACTACATATTCCAAACCCCCCTTTCAGCCTGAAGCAGGAATAAAATATCCATTGTCATTTTGAGAGAAACTTACCAACCTTTCCAACATAAATTTACAACTAATTAGTAGTAATTATGGGAATTTATGATTCTTGTTTTAAGACTATATAAAGGTTACAGCTTAGCTCCAACTTTCTTACAGGCTTTGAAGTAATCCTTGAGAAGACTAAATACCAGCCAGAAGAAATTTCTTAAAAAAAAACATGTAAAGATTTAGCTTAGTTTATATCCATCACTAGTGACCTGCAAGTTTCTGAGACAGGGTAGATTTTAATTTCTCTGTAATATGATTTTTTTAAAAGCCAGACTTTAGACTTTTTTTTTTATCATTATGAATTTCTTTTATTTAATTTTCAATTCTATCTGAAGAAAAATAGCAATAGACTACAATGAAAAAGTAGGTTAAAATTAAATGTAAAACTATTTTAAAAGTTTCAAAGCTTTGCTATGAGTCAATAGAAGAAAAATGTAATTAAAACAATTATATTTAATTGTGTAGAACAAAGAAGTCGTTGATTATTCTCTTTAAAATCTGATGCTCAACGAATATAAAAAATAATAAAAATCACTTTTTTGAGGAAATTTATTGTTTATATTCTTCTGTTTTTAAATAAAGCCAAATTATAAATAAAACTATAGATACCTGGCTAAGTTAATATTTATCCAAAATAACTTAATTATGAAAGAATTTGGTTTTAACTCAAACTTTAATTCTGTTTACATGTTCACTTCTCTTCACTTGGAGGATCATAACACAATCCTAAAAGTAAAGTAAAACATATTGGGTATTGATTTTAATATCAATACCTGGAAAGTAAAATTCTTCCATAGCAAATACTTGTATTACTCCTCTCATACCAGTGATATTGGTAACGTAATAATGTAAAGAGCAAGGAAGACTTTAGACTTTTTTTAGGTGGTAGAAGGTACTCAGTTTGGGCAGAAAGCTCATTAAAAAATCAAATATTACTTGTTTTTTATAGTTTCTTGTTTAGACTTAGGGCCTTTATCCTAATGACTGTCAATTCTTTCTTCTTAGTGTACCTCGGTATGATCAACCTCCTCCTGTCACGTACCAGCCACAGCAAGCTGAAAGAAATCAGTCTCTTCTGGTACCTGCAAATCCATATCATACCGCAGAAATCCCTGACTGGCTTCAGGTTTATGCTCGAGCTCCTGTGAAGTAAGTGAACTTATAGCACAAATTTTTGTTGAGGGGTGAGGCTGCTTAACACATCCAGCAGCATGTTTTTTCTCTTCATAATATTGGACTTCTAAATAACATTTTATTTGAAAAAAGGATATTGCAGCTTATAAAGTTAATTAGAAATATGTTCTGCAAACTTGTTTTGAATCTTTACTTTCTCTGCAGACCTGAACTATATTAGGGATACAGTAAGAAGCTTTCATTCTCATAAGGGGAAATTCAATTGTAAATAAGTGATACAATATCTTATGATGAAAGTAAGGATGCAGGTAAGTCCTAGGCACATGGGTGAAACAAGCAGGACACAAAGGTACAGGTAGTGGCTGCAAGTTCTGGAATAAAATGATCTAAGTTCACTGATACACTTTAGTTGTGTAACCCTGGGTAGGGTGTTTAACGTAGTTTTGTCTTCTGTAAATTGAGGATAGTAATGGTACCTAGTGTTAAGGTTATTAAGAATGTAATAAAATGATGCATCTAAAATATATATCACAGTACTTTGTATACTGGACAGAACTTAGTAAATAATAATAAATTATTATTATTATTATTATTATTAGGGGGAGAAGTGTAGAATAGTGGTTAAAATCGCTCAGGAAGGAAACTGATTTCTGGCTCCATCACCCATTTACTGAACGACCTTGTGCAAGTTAATGAACTTAGATCTAAGTGTTTTTCCTCTATTGAAACATGGGGGATAATAATCTTACCTTCCTTTCTTGATGTGGTGAGACTTAAAAACGATCATGCATTTTTTTTTTTAAGATTTTATTTATTTTTAGCAAGAGGGGAAGGGAGGGAGGAAACATCGATATACTAGAGAAACATTGATCTCTTGCCTCTCACATGCCCCCAGCTGCCCGAAACGGGTGACCTGGCCCACAATTCAGGCATGTACCCTGACCTGGAATCGAACGATCCACCTTTTGAATTGCAGGACAGTGTCAACCCACTGAGCCACCCAGTCGGGGTTGATCATGTGTTTTAAAGCACATGCTAGGTACAGTGGCTGTCATGTGTAAGTTCTTATGAGTGGAGCAAGGAAAGCTGCACTGAAGAGAAAAATAACATGCTCTAGTTTTTAAAGATGGTTATGAGTTTGCCAGGCTCATTGAGGATATAACACTGGGTGCCATATAATGTAATATAATCATGAATGTAGTCTTCAAATGTGATCATGAATGATTTAATGAAATCTTAGCCTTAAAGAGCTTTTCTCTGCTGGAAAACAGAACTATGTACTTAGATCAATAACCCAGCATGATAAAGATTAGTAATAGTGTTACATTCAGAGTGCTATGATTTCAGAAAAGAGGATGTTTGAAAGTAAATAGTTATTGGTTATCCAGTGCTTCCTTTGTACCTTATTGTGCTAAACTTTTAGGCATGTTATTTCATTTAACCTTCCCAAAACCTATTTTGCAAGTGAAAAAACAGGCTTTATCTCAGCTCAAGATCACAACTATTAAGTAGTAGATTTCGAACCTTTATCTGTAACTTCAAAGACCATTAACTTTTGTCATTGGTAGTTTCTTATTTAATAATAATTGTCATTTACTTAGCAGCTATTAAATTCCTGGTACTTTGCTAGGCGTTTTACACATAATAATTATTTCATGCACTTGTACTTTTAACAACTAATAAGGTAACATTCAGTTGCCAGTTTTTGTAGCCTTACTCTTTATTTCCCGTCTGTATTTCTGAAACCAAAATTTATCAGCATAAAGTAGCCCAAAGAAGAGTTTTTAGAGAGTTCAAGATAATTGGACAGTGAATTTGGAATAAAATAATTAAATCTTTGATGTTCAAATAAAAGGAGTGTAAAACCTTTCCTATATACTTTTGTAATAGTAACTCTTTTCTGTGGTTATAAAGGATGATCATTGAAATAAAATTTCCAAGAGGTTAAGCCAACTCTGATTTAAATTTTTACCATCCTGCTATGTATTTACTGGCCCTTTGTGTTTGTGTGTATGTACACACGCATGAATAGGCCTTTAATTTTTTTTTCTTGCTTAGAGCCATTTTGTTACGAGCTTCTTTTCAGGCTTCTAATGTGAATAGTTGGTATATTACCTAAAGGATATGCCTCATCATTATTTGACCATGATTCTGGTCATTTAGGCCAGTTTAACATTCTCATAGTTTTTGGTCATTTGCTATTAATTATTAATTTTTGGCCAATATAAAACATTCCCTTACATTCCCTCTATTCTCAGTCTATATATTAATATCTTCTGATCTGTGGCCTGCTGCAGAGAGACAAGAGGATCCTTGAAGATTGTGGTCTAAAAGTATTAGTTCTTTTTTTACCCCAAAGTCAAATTTAATGTAATTTTTAAAGAGTTTTTAATTATAGATATTCTGCAAAGAATACACAGTGGGTATGTAATGTTGGTTTTAGTACTTGAAATGAGGTCACGTTTATCCATAGAAGTTAGCCTGGTTGGGTGTCTTAGCTAACCTAAAAAAGCTTCTTTATCTGATAATATCTGTATAGTATAGGAATGGGATCAGGAATGTGATAGCAGGTAGACTTTTCTTCCCTTTTCCCCTCTTCTTTCACCCCCCTTTTTTAATTTGACTTTATTTGGGTGACATAGATTAATAAGAATATATAGGTTTCAGGTATACAATTCTGTAATACATCAACTCTATATTATATTATATGTTCATCACCCCAAGTCAAGTCACCTTCCATTACCATTTATCCCCCTTATACCTCTACCTCTCCCAGCCCTCTCCCCCTCTGGTAGTCACCATGCTGTTGTCTGTGTCTAAGAGTTGTGTTTTGTTTTGGGTTTTGTTGTTGTGTTTTGTTTTGTTTTTTTTACTTAATCCCTTCTTCTTTCACTCTTGAATACAACTTGACCCACTACTTTATATAGCCTTTGTACATAGGCGCTGATCCTATTTTGGGGGAGTTGATAAAATTGAAGAGTGTTACTCTTTGTACTTGATGTTATTTCTATTCTGTAGTCATTGTTAGGAAAAAACATAACAAACTTTTATTTGGGGGAAAAAATGATAGTACTTAAATGGAAATCCTTGCTTCTTATGAAAAGAAAGACTTCCAAAGATTATATGTTCCTTTTGTACCTGGTTCTATGAGCTAATTATGAAACTTAAGGAAACTAGCAACTTTTTTTTCCCTTTAGCTAGCTCAGACTCTCCCAGAATGGGTCAGACTGGAAAAAGAGAGCAAATATTTCTTTGCTGAAAAACTTAAAGGTCTATAAACCTGTTGCTTTTTAGTTGCTCCTAAATTTTTATCCCTGAAGAGTGTGGAAATGGTTAATATTGTTCTGTCAGCAAAGGGTAAGCTGTTATCTATGAATTAGAGATGGAGAATCAATTATTTATCAAAAAGAGGTGTTAGCCAAAACAACTAGCCTTTCTTCCTCTTGTTTAACAATTGAGAATCTTCTAACTTCCTGAAATTTTTATTCTACCTCTAGCAGTAACTTACCAAAATAATGTTTGTGTGTACTATCACAACCTGATTTAGAAAAAGATTATGTTCTAAATTATTATTTATTAATTTTAGTAAAGTTACATTTCTGAGTCTGTTCACAGAAGTCTATAATGTATCATGTAACTGTAATTAAGCCAAACCATCCGATAAAATTATAGGATTTAATCTTTAACAGGAAAAAGACAGTCAGGAACATGCTTTCTAATATTTCTCATTCCCCCACCCCAGCACTAGTACCTGATAGCATTGTGGCATGGATTCTATTTTATTCCCGTAGCTTGGTGATCCTGCGCTGTCACCACTGACCCAGCTCTGGGTTTATATATAGGTAGAAAGAAAAGAGTGGGCGCACACACACTGTTACGGGGGCAGGTACAGGGAACTTAGGCAATGTTACCATACCTGGGGCTGAGAAAGGCAGCACTTTTTGCTTCTAAAAGCAGCATCCACTGCAGTATGAACACATTTTTGGGTAGCATTATAGCAATAGCTGTTTTTATACATGGTTATTTATTAGTAATGTTTGAATAGAATCCTGTCCTAGAAAAAAACAGCAAAAGAGATGCTGTAACCACAGGCTACTGGAGTGGTTTTTACAGCCTATTTTCTAAATGATTTGCCTGTATATTTAGAGTATAAGTGGCTAAAAGTTAAACTTAGGGAAGTAGATTATTTGGCTAGTTAAGAAGGAAAGAATAGTAATTAGATACTTCAAAAAATAATCAGACATACTGCGATGCGTTACAGGCAGAAGGGAAGTAACTGTAGAAACAGCAGGGGCAAGAATTTGGAATGGAAATTGGTGTGTTGTGTACTTTTCTCATTGCTACTCTTCCTTAGAGTGCTTTTTCTTTTCCCCAAAGGATTTTCTCTAATTATTTTGATTTTGTGCTTCTACCCATAATCCTATTCTTGATGGCTAATACTATGGGAGGTCAGAAAATTATCTGAAATGTTTTCTTTTTTTATTTTTTAAAAAAACTTGAATGCTTATACAGAATATTTTTGTTAAAACAAGTACATTTTAACCAATTTATTCCTCTCTTCTTTTTTCCTTGCTAGAAAGTACACAGATGACAAGTGAGTTTTAATGTTCTTACATTATAGTTCACCACCTGGCATAAATTTAAGCATCTTGAAGCAGTAGCCGTTGCTGAAATGCCCCTTAGCTATGGAATTCATATTCTAGAAGATTAGTACTTTTTGTTAGGAATTATGAATTTGTTTAAAACAAATAAGTAAAACCCTAAGCTACATAAAAGGCAGATATTCTAGGAAACACTTTACAACTGTTTCTACATGGAGACTCAGTGAGTATTTCTTGCAATGTCTCCCAAGTTTATGTTGGCAAGTAGTTGGAGTTTCCTACTGAAGAGAATATAAAGCTTCCTACCAAGTTTATCTATTAGTAATTTGCAGCACTCATTAAGTAAGTAAATGAGTAAAATTGGGATCCAACAAAATATGCTTACCTCGTGGTTTTGCATATCATACTCCCGGTATTCCTGGTACATATACTCAAGTTACACAGAAATACATGTCAGTGTGCCAAGTACAGTATTTGGCTCATACTGGCTGCTCAGTATTTGTTTCCTGTTTTCCTTTTTAATAAGCCTTTTAAAATTTACATTAGACAGGTGATCCTTCTAGAATAAGATGGTAAATGAAGTACAAAACAAAGGACCCATTGGAATTATAAATGATCATTAAAAATAAATTTATTAGAATTTATAATCAAAACTTCCTATTATGCCAGTTCAGTAGGATGATTTGAGAAGTATAACTTCATTATCATAGGATTATGCCTTGCTCTAGTTGAAGTTCTTTGTCTAGTCTTAGTATTATTAACATTCAAGACTATTACTCTGAAGTGTCTCGGTCCATAGTTTTTTCTGTCTGATCTTTTAGTCACCAAACAATTTTGCAAGACCTGTATAGCCTCTTTGGGTTTCAGTTTTTTTTTTCATCTGCAGAATGAGAAAATTGGATTAGAGTGTTGTCTTTAGGTGTCTTTCAATTCAAAGTGTAAATTACTGCTTTAATAGTTTGTGGCATACTTCCATCTAATATGTGATCTATTATTGAAGAAGGCCTTCTGAGGGTGGGGGGAGGGCGCGCGCGCGTGTGTGTGTGTGTGTGTGTGTGTGTGTGTGTGTGTGTGTGTAATCTTACATGAGTCCTTCCCCACATTGTGGCATCTTCTGTTGTCTGCTTATTCTCTCATTTTGAAAAGAACTTCCTATTTCGTTTCTGCTTGACTTCTTTATTGTTTGAGTTTGTTTGCTTTCCTTCTTTAAATACTGTATATTTAACCTCAGGAAAACTCAACCCACAAGATGGTTCTTCATTCCTCTTCTGCTTAGTTCTTTGTTTGCTGTAGTGAACATTCCTCAAAAAGCTCTATCAACACTAATGACCTCGCACATTTTCATGTATTGTTTGCAGGCACAGTGTGGTCTAAAGCATTCTTAAGTTCCTGAGAGTTAACCTTGGATGAACTTATGAATAGCATAGAATGTGTTTTTCAGATACTCTAGAACCACAGTGGTTTAAAATCTGTGTTTGTTGTTGTCTAGTGTTAATATTAGAATAACTGATAACTTAAGATTTTTAAAAAATGGCTATTACTTAAATTGAAATGAATAAGTTTCCTCCTTTCCCTAAAAAATAGTATATTTAAATAGCAGTTAATAACTCAGTTATTTTCAATTATAGTTTATATTTATAAAAATAGACTGGTTGATTACTGTAAATACATATTTATGTATGTATTCTGATTATATGTATGATTGTGTTTTAAAACAGATATGACCACATTCTGAAGTGGGAACTCTTCCAGCTAGCTGACCTGGATACATACCAGGGAATGCTAAAGTTGCTTTTCATGAAAGAACTGGAACAGATTGTCAAAATGTATGAGGCCTACAGACAGGCTCTTCTCACAGAGTTGGAAAACCGCAAGCAGAGGCAGCAGTGGTATGCCCAGCAACATGGCAAGAATTTTTAAGTTAATTTTTAAAAAATAGAATTTAAGTTTTATAAGGGCTTATTTTCACAGATAAAAACCTGCAAACAATTACTTTGATTAATAAATGAAGCTTTTTAGAAATTATAATATTCTAATTTTACATGTATTTTGTTATTAAAAATACGTACTCTTATTGAGCAAGAAATAGAAAAAGAGTTTATCATTTTAAGAGCCACCACGGAAAACTTCTAAGTGCTGCATATTAAGAAACTGCTTTGAATATTCTCAGTGGAGACAAATGAAGCAAGAAATGTCATTATAATTAGATATTAAATAGGAAATGATCACTTGGTAAACTCTTACAGTAGCAGTACCTTCTTTAAAAAACAGAGATAACCTATGCAGTATTTAAAAAAAGATGTTTACTGCTTTAGTGTGGAACATTGTCTGGAACTGAATGCTTTAAATGTTACTATTGTGTATAGTTCAAAACATAAAGTGGGATTTGGGACTTGTTTTGTGATAAATTTTTATATCTAATTTATGAGATTTCCTCCCCCCTCCCCCAATATAAAGAACTCTTTTAAATGTGATGAGAAAGTATTTTTGTGGTAGGAAAGGGTGAAGGGCTTGTAATCTTTCAGGAATAAATTTAGGCAAAAAGCCTTAGTCTGTGTGGGAAAGGTATGTACAGCACTCAAAGTTGCTAATATCACTTCTTTACTTTTGGCCAGGGCTCTTATGGCATTTAGGAGCATGGCTCTGATCAGACAGTGGAGGGTTCCCTACAGCATAGCATGCTGCCATCCTAACAAGGTGGATTAAGCTGCCAAAAATGACAATCAGGGATTTATTAAGAAATCTTGGTCAATAAATTGATTTTACTTAATCTCTCTTTTTTTTTAAAGAGTTTGTCATGGAACTTCAAAACCCAGTATTTCCTCCCATTTTTTCCTTTTGATTTAATGCTTACTAAGACATTGTTCTTAATTTGTGTAGTACATTTGATTGCAGACAAATTAATGGCACTTCTAGCCTATAAATGTTTAGAATTCCGTGAATTTCAACATTAGTTGAAGTAGCTCTTCAGTTATAATTACATGTGTTGTAAATATGTGAATATATTTTTAGTTTAGGTGATCTTCCAAAATACAAAGCACTCCCCGTTAGATAGCAATGAGTTTGGATTGTTGATAAAATGTTGGAAATGTTAAATGTTTGATTTTATACAACAAGCTTATTAAATATATTTTTGTGGAAACTAAATGTGTTTGAGTCCATGTTTTATGCATAGTGCTATAAATATTTGATTTTTCCATTCATAAGACCCATAGGCAAAGGAAGCAATATATTGAATGGGGTATTGAAAAATAAGCTAGTGGAATTTTATCAGTGGGAAAAGTTACTTTGCAGGGCATGTGATCAAACTTTTGTAAGATTTAAGTTTACATATCTTATGAACTGTCACAGACTCTATCTGAATTATTTCTTCCTGTTACTAACTTTATTACAGTTTAATTACAGCTTAGCTATTTCTAAGAAAGAAATTATTGCTTTAGAGCTCCCAGATAAAAGGCATTACTTTTCTTTTTTCATTACCACACTTTTTCTCTAAAAGGTGTGCTCAGTGAAGTTCCACTAGAGATTTTAGTAATTAGAAATACAGTACAGAATTACTGGTTCAAAAGAACTGGAATGTACCTAAAGGGATTAACATACACTTATTACAATGGAAAGCTGAATTTATAATAGGGTCAACATTAAAAAAAGTGCATTTTGAATTTTTAAAAAAGAGATAAACGATCACCAGTATTTATCAACATCTCAAACACTTCCAAATTCAGTAAGCATTTGTTTTTAATCTTAGGAACCAAAGTAAACTTTAATAGTAGTTCACATTTTAAAAGAATAAACCTATGATGGATACATTTCTTTGTGTACCAAATGAAAAAGTATACAATGCAGAAACTCACATACAAAGTGATTTTTTGTGCATTCTTGAACAAGAGGTTTATATTCTATATCAAATTATAATATAAAAGAAGCAATATATAGTTTTTGATAAAGCAACTGAAAAACTCTCTTAAATGTCTTTAAAAATAAAAGCTTATGGTATATGTAAGATGGTACAGATTGTATCAAGCCTGTTGAGTTCTAATGCTGTGCTTTAACAAATGGCTGAAATAATTAACAATTCCTCTAGAAATTAAATGAGCATATCCAAACATGGAGCAATATTACTACATGGTTTAATTATAACCCAGAATTTAGTAAATTCAGGCAGAACACATATATTGTCATCATAGACAAATAACTTTAAATTATAACAGCATATTTGAAGACAAAATGAGGATACTGTACATGTTACCAAAATGATAATAACCATGCATACATACATCTGCTGTTAAACACTGAAATAAAAGAACTAAACCATTTTTGCAGTCTTCGGAGATGTTTGGTATTTTACTCTGTTCTGATGGAAGCACTGTGAATGTTTACATGGAGACATGAAATAATATGACAGTTGGTCATGCATGTATGCTTTTTAAAATTTGGATTAGATTTTCTTCTTTTCTGATTGTTCGGTAGGTTCTGACTTTGGTGCAGGGAAAGCTTGATGATACAGGTGTCTGTGGGTTGCTGCTGCACTGTAAAGCTTGTATAAAGCCTAAAAATACAAGAAAACATTATAAAACATACTAAACACAGATGTAAAATTTTTCCTTTTTAGCGTAATTAGTTACTTTATGGTATTACATAAAATTTAGCATGCTAAATTTGAAATCTATATTATTAATCCATACAGGATATTACGTTAATAACTAGTATCTTAAAACCCAAAAGTATTTGCAACTCTTTAGAGGAATTTTAGGAGCTCAGAACTTTTCACTGCCAATAGCTACTTTATTGTACATAGCTTGACCACTTATTATCAGGGCTTCCTTATAGATTTATCAGAATGGGGCCACTCTTAGTCTCCATTATTTCCTGATATAGTCATGAAAATAAGCACATATGTTGCCCCCTCTGTCACACTGGTATCCCTCACTTAAATGTCTTCTTGCCTTAGTTTTATTAATTCATATTTTATAAAAACTTTATTCAGAAACATCACCTCAGCCTTTTTTTAAAAAATTAAGTTTATTGGGGTGACATTGGTTAATAAGATCATTTAAGTTTCAAGTGTATATTTCTATGATAATGGGATCTGTATATTGAACTGTGTGCCCACCACCTAAAGTCAAACTATCTTATCTTAGGTCCCCCTCCAACCTCCACATCCCAACCTCTTCCCTCTGGCAACCACCACATTGCTGTCTGTGTCCATGAGTTTTAGTTTTATATCACACATATGAGTGAAATCATGGTAGAAAGCCTATTGTCATTAAAACTACCTGTGTGATTGTTATTTCTGTCTGTTTAACAGTGTTTGAATCAGGAATTTTTATGTACTGCTTTATATATATGTGTTCTAATATTTTTATGTTCTCCCCACCTGCCAAGCTAGTGTCTAAGATTCATTCCCTTCTGACTTTCACATAATGAACATTCAGCTAAGACCAACTTCTTTTATGTAAATCTGGAGTCCATAATAAGTCCGAGTATTTTAAAAAGCTGGATAAAAGCTTGATATTCTTTAAATAGTAATTGATTCCCAGAAAAATACCATTAATTTTTGTCTTTCTTTGTCTATATGGCTATTTCTTATGTCTGAATAGTACCATCATCAGTTCTATGAATGTGTATTGATGCAACATGGTGTTCTATTTCTACTATATTCTGATTCCAACACAGTTTAACCCCTATTCTTTTAAAAGCTTAGATCTTTTTGTTAAGGTTTGGTTTACAAAGTTGAAATTTGTTTTTACTTTAGTGAATTTGTTTTATTGAATTTTACATAAAATAATTCCCTATTGACTTGTAAATATTAAGTGTATCATTGGTATTTGATTACAGAACATCATCTAGTTACATGTAACAGAAACGGAGGAAAGAATTATGTGCTGTCTCTTTAGTTGTTCAAGATGAGTTTTGCTTCCTGAACACAACAACCTAAATGACTCATTTTCTAATGTAACAAATTATTCCTTCTTGGAAGCTCAGATTCCTTCCTCAGATACAGAGTTTGCACATGTGGAGAGTGATAAAATGGAAGGGTGGTAGGAGAAATGACCAATTTATAAATCACGTATGAGATATGCCAAGAAGGTTATGATGCATACTGGCCTGGAACCTGCTTAAGTTGTATAGGTTAACTAACTGTCATTCAAAAGCCAAAGTTAAAAGCAACTCCTAAAGACTGTAGCTTCATTTAAATGCTCTCCAGTTGTTAAATTTCCTCAAGATTCTTAGCTATACTTGTTTCATTCCTCAGTAGAGCAAAATGCACAATGTTGAAGCTTAGGAATTTTGAAAATTTTTTGCACATTAGGAAACAAAGCAAAATATTCATGATATTCATGATAACCTATTCTTGTGCTTCATATGTACATCAGATCATATGTCTGGAATAAATATTGTTTAAAACCATGTTAAAATTCACAATTAAAATTGTAAACACAAAGAGAACATAGGAGCAATAGTCACCAAATATTTTCTCATCTACATTTACACATCCTTTAATGGCTAGTCAGTTTGTAAAATAAGAATATCATATTTACAAATATATAGCTCTTAATCTAAAAAAAATTTAACTTACCTCATTTGTACTTCCCTGTGGCAAAGACAGATTAAAAGGGAGAAAAAAAAGAAGTATATATCCTGTTTCATTAATAGTATTACAACATTCAACTTTGTTTACAGTATTAATTTGTGAGCATTTAAGAATACCCCTGCAAATCTTTTGTGTATATTACACATTTTATATAAGTCTTTTGAAGAACCTAATTCTATATCCCTTATAAGTTTCAGCATCATATTCTAGGAGGGCATTGGGATTTTCCTCAAAAAGCCCCTCTTCAATCTTTTGAGGTTGAGGGGCTCTTTAAGACAGTGGCTCAGGTGATCCAATTTTTAATTCATTCTTTTCCCATAGTGCTGCCATTAGTTTATCTCAACTAGGTTTTTCAAAGGCACATAGTAAATCCATTAGTTAAAATTCTATTTTAAAGAGTACATGTAAGTATTCTCTAAATGCTGGGAGAATTATTACTTGCTACCTCAGACCATAAATGTTCAAAAGTCTTCAACATTTTCTGAAGTATCTCAACTTTAGCTTCACTAAATTCCCTTAATTTTCATGAGGTAACTGAGAACACTTCCAGAATGACATCGTGAGTTGATTATTTTTCCAGGTGTGTTTATAATTATTTCCCCTATCCATAATCAATTATTTAAACAGTGGACCAGAGTAAACCTGAGTTATAGTTAATTGGACCATAAAGGACAACTGACCCATGAACAACTAACTGGTCAGGAGGTTGACCTGGACTCATGCTATGGCCTGGTACCAATGTCTAGTTCGAACAAAGATAATCTGAAGTAATCAGATAAAGTTTTTAGGAGATGGTACTTAGTGATAGAACAACTTAATGATAGTGATTTGTATGATCTTAACAAAGCCAATGCTAGTCAAACGATAGGTTTTAATATGATATAAGGCTAATGTATAATTGAGTCACAATCAGCTAAATAAAAACAAACTTCGCATACTTCTTTAGCCATTTACTTCAGATAAGAAAAAATAAAAATAATCCATGTATTTTTTAAAAATATTGAAATTTTAACTGGAAAACAGTTATGTGGGACTTCACATACTGTATTGCATAATTTTTTGTGTGTCTAACCATTTGACAGATTCTAAAGTTCTTGAAAACTGGAGCCCAAGTCAAGGCCATCTGTGTATTTCCAACATCTAACATAATGTCCAGTACATAGATGGCATTCAAATGTGTGTTGTATTGAGTTGAAGAGAATTAAAAGTGTTCCTACCTGGTCCCACAAGGCTGCAGCCACCTGGTCTATTACAGCTCCCAGCTCTCGGTATTCTCCAGAGTACCGGATGTATGCCCAGGTGCACAGAGTGATAAGGGTCAGTCCCATTATCATATTGCATAGACTAGCTATGATGTCCAAACCAATGAATCCAGTCACACCAGCAATCACATATGTGATAAAGATGACAACAAACAGTGTGGCTGGAGTACGAGCTGCATGGAAGATATTTTTGCTATCATTGTGCTTGATATATTGGATATAAAGTTCATCTATTTCACTCTCCAACTGTTGTAGGTAACGCCGGCTAAATTCCTCCCCACCCATCTTCT